ACGAATTAGGCAATTTGTGAATTGATCTTTGATGAATTGGTTCTTAAGATTTTGGACTAGGTAAGGATTGTACTTTGATTTTGAAGCAATAAAAATAATATACGAATTAAGATAAATAAGCATATTATTAAACTAAATTTGAATTTAAATCAAATACAAATAAAAATTACAATCACAATGCTATTCCATTAAATTTACAAATAAAATACAACAATAAAATAAATCAAGACCTAAAGTCATAGTCAACTTTCGGTCAATTCAGTCAACAAAAGTCAAAGTCAGCCAACCCAATCAGGTCTGACCAAACCCAAACTGGTCCGACCCAAATCCAGACCACTACTGTAGCAAACTTGGTGCAAAGTAGCCATTTTTCTATAAAAAGGGAGCCATATGGCTCTTACAAGGGGCAGAGAGATTTCCCTCTTATGACAGACGAAAAAAAAAACAGAGGGTTCTTCTCTTCCTACTACTTCTTTCCATTTCCCCGGGGAAGAACAGGTCTTCTCTTCATCTTTTCATCTTCAGTTCTTATACAAAGAGAGAGAGAAAGAAAGACAACAAAAAGAAAACCCACAAACCAGGAAAGGGACATGGAGCAGACCCCCTCTCTTCTTCTTCTTCTTCTTCTTCTTCTTCTTCTTCTTCTTCTTCTTCTTCTCTTGATCATTCCACAACGCCTTCCATTTCCCCTGCTAAACACACACAGACAAATAACTAAGCTAAAAAACTGAACAGATAGACTTCCCTCCATCCCCTCGGCTCTAACAAATACTCACAGAATATACAAAGAAGAGGAACCATCTTCTACCTCGTCTCTTTCCTTTTCGTACAAACGTCACCATCATAACGAAAAAGCAGTCAAAGACAGAAAAGACTCCATACCACGTTTTCTTCTTGTTACTAAGCATCAACTACAAAAAAGAAAAAAGACAGCAATAGCCAGAGAGAGGCGGCAACCCTACAGCAAACATTCAGCTTCTTTTCATACACACAAAAAGACCCACCACAAGAGGAAGAGGCAATAAGTTTCCAGCGGTCAAACCAAGCGAAGACAGAGGAAAACAACTTCATCCCCTCCCCCAAACTACACGAACAGGTGGGTACCCTAAATCTTTTTCATCCTAACACCATCATCATTTGCATCACCGGATCTAAGGCTAGTTATCTAAGGTTTTTTCAAAAACAAATCAATCAATTCCAAGCAAACACTGGCATACTGATTTTGTACAAAAGAGGAATCTCAATCTACCACCAATCAAACTACAAATGATCAAATTGATTTAAAAACACACCAAACTCAATCAATCACAATCAAATTACAATCTGACTCCAATAATCTGAAAAGTAATGATATTGAATCCACTCCAAGCAAAATAAAAATGACATACTTCACCATATTAGCAAAGTAACCAACACATCAGATTTATTTCTTTCCATCTAAGGCTGTTGCCCACGCCTAATTCATCTTGTCATTTTAATACTTCCATGCTTAAGCTCATTACAAGCAAGAGTTAGATATGCAATTTTATCTTTGTTTCCCTCTTCTCAGTTTTGTTTATTGTACTCACCATATATACAAATGCTAAACTAACACCCAACTCATGTCATAAGCAAAAGTAGATTCGGCTAATATTAATAAGCTAATACAAACTCGAAGACTTATTAGACTCGATTATATGAAGCTATCTTAGAATAGCTCTCTCGATTTTAAGGGCTCATGTCTAACCATAGCAAACCCCATATTTCATCCATCACAAACTCAAAACCCAAATTTGAAACTAAATCAACGAAAGACAAAGTAACCACAAGCAATAGCAGTGTTTGTGGTCTTTTAAAGTTCATTTTCCACTTTGTTCGGTTTAAAAAATTCCGAAACTTGAACCGTATTTCTGAGTGTTTTCTTGTGGTTCTAAGTCCCACACCACAGTTCTAAATGAAATTTTCACGACCATAAATCAAATATCAAATCGACTAAATCAAAACTCCAAATCATCAACACTAAATTTAAATCAAACCATAGTTGAGATCAGTAGCCATTCTATTCTTGTTCTCAAACCTGCAAAAAACGGAAGTTAATTACGAGTCGACCAAACAAACGAGATAATCCAAAAATGAAAATAACTCATCAGGTCTGGTCTGCCTCCTCCACATCAGCCGCCGGCGATATCGCCAGTGTTCGCCGGCAGTGACCTCACTTTCTCCTCTGCTCGCCCTTCCCTTTCTCTTTTCTGTTGGGCCGCATAGTTGAGCGTACTTGGGCCTCGGGCCCAAGAGAGGCGAGTCAGCGGTTAAGGCCCAATAAGGAGGCCAGGCCCGATCGAAAGACCGGGTCATCGGGCGGTCCATGATCGACTGTGAACCCGAGAAATAGATAAGGGCGCCTGACATAAAGCAACTGAGCAGCACAGAAAGGCAGAGAGCCGTTGAAGATGCGTATCTAGTGTCAGGCAAGACTGAGCATTTATTACCGGCCACAGGCGGCCTGCAGAAAGGCTGAAAGCCTGCCCAGGACGCCTGACATGACCCAAAAAGCCTGCACAGGACGCCCGACATAGCATTTAATGCCCCAACCACCTTCAAACCAGGTATAATAGAGGGTGAGTGCATTAATGGTAAGGCCAACTACTATTCATCTCTCTACATAAATTCTTACCTCTCCCCTTCTCTCTCTAACTTAAGCTTCGGAGAGTGTCCCGGGCGAACCGCCCCGGACCGTTGTTTTGCAGAGTATCAGGAGTACTCCCCCACATCCAAGAACAGGCGCCTCGCCCCAGCTCCACAAACCGCCTAGTATCTACTTGGCACAAACATTTTCCTCGCAGAAAAAGAGAAGAGAAATAGAAACCCAAAAAATACAATCAGAAATCGAAACAACCAAATCAAACCCTCAAACCCGACATGCAAGCCTCAAATCTTGACTCTCAAATCTTGACTTACCGTCGATTTGAGGGTTGTGCGGACCATCATCGTTGTTTTTTTGCTTCTTTTTCTGGACCCTACTCGGTTTCCAGAAAGAACACGAGGGAGGAGACGAGAGGTAGAGGCATTTTCTTTCCTTTCTTCGCTTTTTTTCCCTGGTAGAAGATCGAGAGAAGAGATGAAGGAGATCGGATGTATTTCCTCTACTTTCGTCGTTTTTGTTTTTGGGTTTTAGGTAGAGACGAGAGAAAACGAGTTGGAAGTGAGGATTGGGGAGGCTAGGGTTAGGTTTCTGTAAAAAATGGGTTCACTACCCGGACTCTTGAATTGACCAAAATGCCCCTCTAATTTCGATTAAATTACCTGATGCCACCTTCCTTCTGTTGAAAAACGAGACTAAAAAATGTGACCATGCTGAGTTTCGAACTTTTGACCTATCAGTCAAAATATTCACCTAGCCACTCATATAACCAATAGCCTAAACGCCTACCAATTGCTCCTAGAATAAACTGTTTTATTTTTAATCTCAAACTACCTTAATACGTAAATCGAATCGAATGTTATACGATCCTCCGCTAGGTTAATACCAAGAACCTATCTTAACTCCCATTGGAATTATCAAATTTTGAAAGTCATCTTTGCTCGTTTACATATTTTCCCCTAAGAGTCTTTAATACGAAACTAGGGTCAATAGACCGTGGTTTCTTTAGTCAAACTCTTTAACAATTATCAATAAATCGGTTGTTAAAGCAAAAATAGCAAAACTCTTTTCCAAAAGTACTCAATCTCAAACATTAACACAATCAATAGAATGTGCTAAATTTCATATTTCAAAACGTTTCAATTTTAATCGAACTACGTGGACTTTGATCCCAACTACTCGGGTACGTAGGCAACCAATAGGTTCGAGTCCAACTAATTATAAACTATTCCTTTACCTTTGAGAATTATGTCGATAGACATATGATCAAATCTTTAATAATTTAAACCTTATTAATCGAATCATATAATTAAATACATCAATAAAGCCGCAAATTATTATACACCCAACCCTTAAAAACTTATCGATTTTAAGTAGTACCCATTTGGGGCGTCGTGGGTGTGAATACACTTCCCCACACGTAACCGTACTCTCGAACCTAGAAAATAAAAATTTCGCAGACCAAATATTGGTTTCGACCCTAAGGTCGAGACCAGGCCAAATGAGTGTTCGATCCACTCCAAGTAAGGTCGATGGCGACTCCGAGCGTGACGCAACGGTACCCCGATCTCGGAAGGGCGGTTGCGACATTATCAATCAAGTAAACACCTTGATTGTGGTGAAATTCTACCTTTCCGTCAATTATCGTTCGAGAGATCGTTTGCTGCGTAGTTCTGATCAAAAGCACCCCCTGGTGCTTTATTAAGTGGTATCAGAACCTTAGGTTCAAGTCAGTGGCGAGAAGGATTGATCGAGGCTGTGTTCGTTGAATTAAATCGCAAAAAAAAAAAAAAAGAAGAAGAAGAGGAAAGCAGAGTAACAATGGCGGCAGCAGAGTTAGCAAATTCCATGGTCTTCACGCGGTGTTTAATTGAGGAGCAGTTGTGTTTAGTTCTCATGGATGGAGGCAGGGAGAGGAATTTTATTTCCACTATGGCCATGTGCAATCTAGGGCTGCAAACACAGATACTTCCGAAGCCCTATGTTTTCAAATCACCATACGAAAACAGATTCCGCCTCGTAGTGTCTCAGGTGGTTGTGAAGTTTTTGATAGGCCAATACGAGGATCACGTTATGTGTGACGTGGTTTACGATCGCCCTAGCAGCATTGTTCTTGGTCAGCCATGGTTCAGTAAACTTCAAGTTTGTTTTGAAAGCCGACGGAGCAAGAAGTTTCGGATTCGGAGACGAAACCAAGTATTCGTCATGACCCCGTTGGCTCCAGAAGAAGCTGCCAATGATTTGCAGGAGCTGCAACGAATCTAGGAGGAGTATCAGAAAGCTATACTAGCGAAACCATGGCCATGGAAGGTCGATCAAGCAAATTCCCAGCCAAAGTAAGACAACCCTTGTTTTTCACCGCAAAAACATAGCATCTACGCCGGGTTTACTGCCAACGAAGATGAAGAGAAGACGATGCACTACAATGGACCTGATGCGTCGTTGGAGGTGGAAGGAATGACAGAGAGTCGAGGAGGAGGCCTGGATCAGACTGAAATCGCAAGCACCTCTCCAACCTCAACACCTGCCAAGTTCTGAACTTTTCCGACGAAATAGATGAGGAGAGAGGACGACATGGGTGGAATTATCGGCGAAGAGTCGACAATCGCCAACGGTGCTTGTGCAACCCCTCATACCCCAGAAATGTTAGAAGCAGATTCCTTGGAGGCTAACGTGCCTGCAATTGAAGATCCAATTCCCACGAAGTCGGCTCTGTTCGTGAAGGAAATTGCCAACCAGGACCCTCTCTTGGGTAGTGCCATCCCACTCAAATGGAACCAAAACTGTGATTCAGAATCGTCCAAGGATGTCTAAGGAGCGTGTAGGATCGCTCAATTCAACTTGACGGGGCCTGAATCGAAAATGCCCAAAATTGAATTGGGAATTCTGGGTATCCAGAATTTGAAACAAGGCTTTGGTGGGAAGAGGGAGACCGATGAATTGATGATGATAGTGACGAATCGAGGTTGGAAACAGGTTCAAACCTTCCTTTGGAAGTCTGGCGAAGAACTTGGAGCGGTTGAATTAGATTTGGAATCCTTATCAAAACCCCAATTCATTCGAGCAAGAACATGAATGCAAAAGGAATCCGACGACCTGGAAATTGTTCCGATCGCATTCGAGTGAAATTGGACGACGTGGAAGGTTTTTTCAACTCCAGGATGGATTCCCAACAGCTCTGCAAGTTTCAAAGGTCTTGGAGAAGTTTGAAGGTGAGTGTGAATCTTTTAATTTTCTGCCGAAAAGGATGATCGAGCATCCCTCTTTCGATCCAATTTGGGATCAATTCTATGACAATTTCTACAAGAAGAAAGCTCAAGCTTTGAGGGCAAAGATTTTTGAAGAGGGGGAGCCTGATATGATCCCAAATGACCAACTCTACACATTTAAATTACCTGACGAAGAAGCTATAGAAGTTGGAAAGAAGAAGGGCAGAATTTGGTTAAGTGTTGGAACAGTTTCGAGATGCATATTTTGGAGGCATGATTCTCCCAATTGGCTTGATGAAAATTCAATATTAAGGGCTTGTATTGAATATGGAGTGTTTATCTACACATTGGTATGCTTGGATGCTCAAGGAGAAGTCAGGATGGTTTTTTCCAAGCTCATCAAAAACCTACGTCAAAACTGGAAAACTGCCTGAAAATGGCAAAGGCAGAAAACTGTTTTATGAAGTCTACTTTGGAGCTCAAATCGAGGAGAATGGATCTAATTCAAGACCAAAGGCTTCCACAACATATAGCTAGGTATGTTTTTATACAAAGGGAAGGTATTGGATGAATAATTGGAGTTCTGGAAGGCCTCGAACGAAAGGCACGAAGTTAGTACGAAAACTCTTTTTCTGGCAGTTTGCTTGTGCTAAAAGGCAGGTTTCTTGTGCTTGAAGAAATGGAAATTTTGACCAAATTTTGTGTTCTTTATTGGGTTTGTTTTTACCTTAATTGTTTCCTAGTTCTATTAGGTTTGTATTAGGTTTTTATTGTCTTTAAATAACTTTCAATTTCACGTTGTAAAGGACCCAAGTTTTAGTTGAATGAAAATTACTCCTACATGAGTTTTGAGTTCTTTGAGTTGTGTCTCAATAATCAAATCCTTGAGTTAGTTCTGTGTGGATTCCATTGCTAATTCGAGAACCCTTGTCAAACTTTTCTGTGAGGATTCCAGATTCGTCTTAGCAAGTTTCATATCAATCAAGTAAACACCTTGATTTTGGAAAAATTCTACCTGTCCATCAATTATCGTTTGAGAGATCGTTTGCTGCGTAGTTCTGATCAAAAGCACTCCCCTGGTGCTTTATCTGTTTGGCATAACAAAGACAAGAAATGATCAACTCTTTGCGGGCAAGACGCAGACAATTAAAGGCATTCTAGAGCGATTCCATGCTTGGATAATTGTAGTAATAGGGGCAATGGACAAGGACCAACTACTCCATAAGCCGAGTCCGCCCGCAAGAATGAAGCAAAATATCTCTTGGAAGTCGCCTCTTTCTAAGTGGATTATCTTTAACTCAGACGGCTCACTCCACACTACTTCTTACGTTCAAAATCATACAGGAGATGCTTAGCAGGGTTCACCATGAACCTGGGCACGTGCTCCATCACCAAGGCATAGTTGAGGGGCGCTATAGAGGGCCTTGAGTAAGCTTGGAACAATGGTCATAGACGTGGAACTGGATTCCAGCTGCGCTATTCAGTTGTTACAGAGCACAAATAGGAAATCGTCAACATTCGACTATTACTTAGCAGTTCTGGAAGCTGCTTAGCAGAGACATAAAGGGTAACAAGTGTGCATACTACCTTGCTAGTTGTGGGCATTCATTGCCATTTGGCTTTCAAGTCGTGTCAGTTTCTGATCCTATGTTAGGTCATCTTACGACATTCAGGGACCCTTCGAACTTTAGTTGATTGTGAATGAAAGATAGGATGCTCTTTGCACCCATTTATAATAAATAAAAAACACCATATCAACTATTTAATAGAGTTAATGTAGAAGACCCAAAGGTGCCGATTGGGAAAAACATTTCCTAAGAAAATGGTAATATGAATATCTTAGCACTACTTTTATCATAATAATATTATCAATCCGTCAACTATGAAACAATCGAAAATGATTGAAAAATAGCGAGAAACTTATAAATAACTTAAGGGTTTCAAACTCTTGCTTCTGCTTCCATGAGACTGTCAATTGTCAACGCTGCTTTAAGGAACTTGAGCCCGAGATTTATGGTTCCCTGGAGTAGTCCACTTTCTCCTCGTATGTGTCCATGTCATCCACTTCTACTATGACAAAATTTTCTTCTTTCTCTGAGAGGGAGAAATTGGTTAAGTTGTTTATCCAAGTCAGGTGCCATCATGAAGAACCCCGTAACCTTACAGGATATTGAGAGAGATCCCTGTAAAGTTTGATGAGAATCAAAGAGGAAGAGAACATGAAAGATGAAGAGATGGAGGAGGATAGGGCATGGAGAGGAAGAGTCGCAACCATAAACTTGAGAAAATATGTTTCACTGAGGGATTTTTCCAGAAATAGCACTATTTAAAAAAAAATTCCAAAAATAGCACCTAAGTCCGAAAAATTCCAAAAATAGCACCATTTCCCAAAATAGCACTGTATTCCTTAAAAAGTTATGCGAAATAAAAAAAAAATTCATGTCGTTTGGATTTTGGAGCACAAAGTTATGGTTGTCCAAAGTTTGACGAAATCGGAAATAAGCTCGTTCGGGGTAGCAAACGACATTTTTTGGGACGAAGCCGGGACCAAACCACATTCGGCAGTCTTCGGCTTGCAAGATCTCAAAAAGTTATGCGGAATCAAAAAAAATTCGCGACGATCGGATACCCGAACACAAAGATACGTCCGTTTGAAGTTTCCACCTAGGTTAGGATTTTTCAAAAAAAAAAAAAAAGCATATCGCATGGTGGGGGTGCGGTCTGCAACCAAACCGCATGGTGGGGGTGCGATATACAAAACCGCCCCCTAGGGATGCGGTTTTCATCGAAAAACGCGCCCCTGGGTGGCGGTTTTCGCCTAAACCGCACTGGTAGGGAGCGGTTTTTGGGAAATGATGCTATTTTTGGAATTTTTCGAACTTAGGTGCTATTTTTGGAATTTTTTTTTAAACAGTGCTATTTCTGGAAAAATCCATTTCACTCAGGAGTTAGAGCGATTGTCACAGAGGGAATTTAACCGCCCATGGTTTGTGTCGACAACCCTGCGGCCCGACGAATAATAAAAGATTTTAAACAGCTAGTTAAGCCAACTATCCAACACATAAACCACCATCTATATACATTTCCATGCATATTCAAGAATTTCCACATGCAGTCTTGGCATTTTATCCCCAATAGTAACGATGTAATCACATTGACATCTATCTCCACAACTAAATAGCAATAAAGCAGAGAGGGAAAACAGAGACATATAGGAGCCAGCAATTACAATTCCACTCGGTGCCTATAAGAGTTCTCAGGGAAAGCTTCATCACGGACAGGACAAAAGAACCAAGGTCTACGAATCAGCAGCTTCCAAGATGGTCAACAACGAGAGGAACAGGTTGATGATGTCCAAGTAGAGAGACACTGCAGCCCAGATATACTCATCGTAGGAGTAGCGCTTGATGAGGTTGTCAGTGTCGTACACGATGTAACCACAGAAGATGATTGAAGCCAAGCATCCGTAAATCATCACCGAAAGCTTACCCAACGGGAACAGAATCTGCATCCACGAACACCAAGTCAGAGATTGTACAAAGAATTTTTTTCAATACGGGAGGAGCAAAGAAGCATAGACTCGAGGAGAGGATGTTTGTTCAAACCTGGATGAGAGCAAAAACCATGAGAACAAGAAGAGCGCCAAACAAGAACGGTCCAAGGAAATTGAAATCGTGGCCTCTCTTTGCTGCCCAGAATGTGAAGAGGGTTAGACCCACAACCATTGTGGTTGTCAGGATCACTGCTTCGAGGATAACTTTCCCTGTTAGCAAGTAGAAAATAGATCCTTCTTAGACAGAAACACGAAACAGATGGTCACAGATAAGAAGATAACGGGTCAAACCCTTAAGAGAAGGGTCAGCTAAATCAGAGACGGTTTTTCTATTAAAAGTCAAGCAACTTCGGCAAAAGTGTAGGACAAACAGATATCAAAAGGGGAAGATGATGCGTCAACCCTCATGAAGAGGGGCATCAGCTACATGTAAAAAAAGGATTCTGGCGCTAGAAGTCGAGCAGACTCTCCAATAAGAGTTCACCAGACTATTGACTCTAAACATCTTACTGATAAGGAACCTCTACATAAATCCCCTTAGCCAAATAATTGATGCCAGTAGTCCATCAGTAAGTCTGTTTGCAATTATCAGGATATAGGACAAGATCACAACAATTCCTGCAATCAGCTCCAATTGGATGCAAGTTGCCTTCCAAGTGCATCACTTGACGTATAAGGTAGGGCTTCGACGGAACTACTGACCAACATAGCATATATGAACACCGAAATCACAGTTGCCCATAATCTTGGGTAATCTTGATGCCAAGGTTACCAATTAGGTCATCGTTGTTCGACGGGGAAGAAACAACCGATACAATCATGACCCAGTACCAAACCCTAAATGCGAAACCTTTCTGTAAAACTACCACCACCTGAATTACCACAAAAATTACCAAAAGGGGGTAAAAAAGGACTTGCCGCTGGTGAATGCGCACGTCAATCCTACGGCGAAAGCGATGGCAATGGTGAAAATCCCCAAGAGAATGTAGTTCACGGGATGCTTCTGGTGATAGTAATACAACGGGCACAGAACTGTAGGAACAAAAAATTGCCGGAGATGAATAAACAGGGAGATGACAATCCGACTAAAAGACGGTAAAGGCAAATTGAGAGAAACAGAGGGGGGAAAAAGAAATTCAAAGACTCTTCTCACCGATGAAGGGCGTGATAAGGAGGACGATGTAGACAGCCAGGCCGGCGCCAGAGCTCACGAAGAAGGTCGCAATTGGCCTCACAAAGACGACGATGGCGGCAACAACGATGGTGGCGAGCAACTGGATGGAGAGGATCGAGTAGATTTTCCTGATGAAAGACCAGCGGAGCTCAGGGCTCTCCAGCATCATCGGGTACAGAGGCGTCGCACCTCCGGCCTCGACGTCATTCTTCCGGCTAGGCTGGGCCCACATATTTTCTAGCAAATACAAACCTTCCTCGCGCGAGTTGCTGCAATTAGGTCGCGGAACTCGGAGATGCAAATGCTAGGGTTTCAGGATATTCTCTCGGATGCAACGACGACGACAGATGAAGAAGACGGATCGAACGAGGAAAGCTAGGCGGTTTCTCGATCGATAAAAGGGGAAAATGAAGGGGATGGATGATGGAGATATATGATAAAGCTGGAGAGCTGTTTGCGGTTGTATGGAGAAACTTCAAGATACGTCGCGTGGAGAGCCGTATAGAACCGTACAAGCGCGTGTGCACGTGGAGCAGTGTCCACGTGGCGGGTTGGCAGAGGTCTAGCGATCTCGTTGGCTGGCGAGTTTGGCGGCGCAATGGGAAGCGTTAGCGAATAGCGAGAGCGATTTCGCCTTTGGAAGGGAAAATGTTGACGGGCCTTTTCTTGTTGGGGGATAAATCAGTAATGGCGTTTCCTTTCAAGATAACCTTTTCCCGTTTTTCGGGTTTATGATTCTTAGACAAGTTGCGTTGTACAACATCCTTCGTCTAACAAAAGTAAAGTAATTAAGAGTCATAAATAAATAGGTGTAGTTAATTTTTATTTTTTGGAAAAGAATTACTTGCTTAATCTAATCACTAAGGAATTTTTTTCTATTCAACCATCTCCATACCTGTAAATTGTAATAGGATAGCCATTTCATAAATGAATTCCACAACCACATCACCAACTTTAGAAATTATTCAATTCAACCATTTTAAACCACCTACATCCCAGTATTAGGTTAGCAATTGCAATTGATTGGACCTACTCACATATTTTTCTCTTAACAATACTTTTGCATAATAGATAACACACTTGTGAAAATTCAATAAAACAACATAGCATACACCAAATAGAAATAAAGAAAAATTACATAATGAAATAAAAAAAATCAAAAATCAAAATGTAATTAAAAAAAATACTAGACTACTCGTCATCTTCCTCTCCTCAAAATCGATTCCAAATCTCTTCAACTAAATCTGCTTGAAGTTGATGATTTTTGGACCTATCACGAATTCTCAAATGATTCCAGAGATACTCTTCATACTTTGGCAGGCAAGTTTGAGAAACTATAGCCATGGATACATTGAAATTCACCCATAATTTGTATAATCAAAATGGCGGATATATGAATCTCGCTCATCTTCTACCATCATGTTATGCATGATTACACGTGCTTTCATTATTTCCCCGATTGTCTTCTTGCACCATACCCGTGCCAGATTACTAACGATGGCGAATCGTGATTGCAACACCCAAATGCTCTCTCGACATATTTTCTGGTGGACACTTGCTTCTTAGCAAATAATTTATGTTTCTGTCCTTGTGGCAGCGGGATTGACTTAATAAAGGTTGCCGAAATTGGATAGATTCCATTAGTGAGGTAGTAGCCCAAGTTGTAACTTTTTCCATTGACGTTATAGTTAACTTATGGTGCTCTCCCTTCTAATACTTCATGAAAAAATGGAGAGCGATCTAATATGTTTATATCATTCAATGTACCTGGAAGACCAAAAAAAGCATGTCATATCCATAGATCTTGTGAAGCTACAGCCTCCAGCATAATAGTAGTAGTTTTATGATCTCCTCTAGCATATGGCATTGCCATGCAACAGAACAATTTTTCCATTCCCAGTGCATACACTCAATACTGCCTAACATACCTGGAAAACCTCGTTGCTGACCTACATGAAGCAATTTTTCGATATCTTTAGCATTTGGCATCCTCAACTATTCATCTCCAAAAGTAGCAATGACAGCTTTTACAAATCTTTTGACACATTTTGTTGTAGTAGACTCCTCGATCCGTAAATACTCATCAATGTTGTCTGTCGCTTCACCATAAGCTAACATGCGCATTGCTGCAGTACACTTCACTAGGTGTGCAAGACTTGCTCTACCAACAATATCAATATTGTTCTGGAAGTAAGGATCATAGTTCATCACAACGTCGACTATGCGAAGAAACAAATGTTTTTGCATTCGAAATCTAAGCCGAAACATATCATCAGCGTATGCGGGAGTCTCAGAGAAGTAGTCTTGGTAATGAAGTAATAAAGGAAAAGACATGTCTTTTATACCTACTCCGGCAAAGCCACCAAGAATGACAATAATACACATTACTAGCCTATTCAACAGTCAAGGGTGTTAAAAAAATTTGCCGAGTGCTCTGACAATGAAGTAACAATTCTCTGACATTTGGTAAAAAATGTCAAATTATTTTGCTAGCAGGAAAGTGACAATTCACTACTCAAACCAATGGTTAAAAAATGATCAATTATTTTGTTGATAGGGAAGTGACAATTCACTACTCAACCCAATGGACTACTCAATTATTTTTGTTAGTGAGCTAGTAAGGAAGTGATAGCATTGTTCTTTGTAAATTTATTTTATTTATCTATATATAGTTTGGAGTCATGAGCAAATAGGTAATGCTCTCAACCTAACACACATTACTAGTCGTCTTCTTTCTTCTCCTCTTCTTTCAAACTTTTCATTCTTTGAAAAAAATGGATCCATCACGTCCATCCTACAATCCGTTTCTTCTCTTCTCACAAGGTTCGTCTAATGTTCTAAGTAATGAGAGAGTCAAGAGCCACAATCTCATGTTAACCCTTTTCCTATCCCTTATATTAATTCTCCTTATTTTTCAAGTCAAGGAAATTTTCATATGCCAATGTATCCAAATTCCAGCCATCCATATTTCCAACAAAATTACCCACAAATGCCAATATCAAATAATTCCTCTCAATAGTCACCAAATGAGGCTCCAATTCCTCAAACCATTCCTACTGAGTCTCAAACTCCTCAATATCCAGCATATTGCAGTCAAGGAATGCCCCAACAAGTTCGACACGAAGAAAGCAAGAAAGTAAGAGTTTGTTGAACTACTGAGGATGACACTTTTCTATGTAGTTTGTGGCTCAACATCAACAAAGATGGAGAAATTGTCATAAATCAAAAGAACAACAACTTCTGGAATCGCATTTGGGAATACTATGACACCTATCGTAAGACCTCCCAAGGCCGAAGGAATAAGCAAAGTCTGATGAATCGTTGGACTAGATTAAACCATTTAATGTCAAAGTTTGTCGGTTATTATGCACAAGTTCAAAATCGAAGGGAAAGCGGGATAAACGAGGTAGACAAAAAGAACAACGAGGAATTATACCGTCCATTAAAAGGTAATGATTTCAATTTTATGCATGCTTGGGAAGTGTTACAGGGTGAGGAGAAATGGTCTAGCCAAATTGAGAAAGATAAAGAAGTTGGTCTCTAGGAAGATAGAGGATCAAAGAGGACTAAGAATACTGCATATGGCGAATACACCTCTTCATCTTCAAATGCAAGCATGCCACCCACTAGAGACCCAGAAGCTATTTCTCATTCTCGTCCACCAGGAAGGAAAGCTTCGAAGCATAAAGGGAAAAAATCTATGTTGTCTGAGTCAGTAGAAAGCCTCGAGCTGGCAATACAACAACAATTTATCCTCGAAATGAGAAAGGTTGAGGAATTAAAGAAGTACAATATGGCTATGGAGGCAAAGATAAAGTTACAGGAGGAACGACAAAGGAAAAGGGAAGAACGAGAGAGGAAGCAAAAAGAACACACTAGAGATATGTTAGCCACGTGCTCTAGAAGGAGATGGATCCAACAACAATGACGGAAGAGCGAAAAGAACACGCTAGAGATATGTTAGCCACGTGCTCTAGAAGGAGATGGATCCAACAACAATGACGGAAGAGCAAAAAATGTTATATCATCTGCAAATGCATAAGTATTTAGGAAAAAATGAAGTCAAACTTGTTTGTAATAATAAAATCACTTGAACCCACAACGTATGCAATTGCAAGTGAATTGTATTGAGGTAGATATAATGATATTAACATGAATTAGATTGCCTGAATGGTGAGGTGGCAATAGAAACAACATATGCAATTGATTTGGCTAATAGTTTGTATTTCGAAAGATTTGACTAATAATTCACAAATTTTTAATATGTCTGGCTAATAAATTGTATTTACCTAAATATAAAACACATCTTACTTTGTAGGGCATAATCTTTGGTTTGTTTCTCTATATTGCTACGGTAAGGAGCTCGATTTTCATAACTGAAACGAACATTGAACCGGAAAAATTATTGGTTTGTGGTTATATTGTTGGTTAATCGTTGATGGCAAGGACGGAGCCAGGATTTGGCATTCTGGGGTGGGGGCGGAGTTTCTTATTATGTTATTGTTAAAAGTTATAAAATCATCAAAATAATAAAATAAAAATATTTTTAATATTATGAAAACTATATTTTTTAAATAATTAAAGTCACGCAAAATATACTCTAAATTAAGCTTTTATAGAATGATAGATTCAATATAAATTACAAAAGATATGAAAAAATTAATAAAGCATATCAATGTTAACATATCCTATTTTCAAAATTAAAAATAAATGTTATGTAACACATCCTATTTCTAAAATTAAAAAATGAATGAATGTTTATATATGTATTAAATAATAATTTATTCATTACTTGTCTAAAAATATGCTAAATTTTTTGCAAGTTGAAGAACTTATTTAATTTAATAGGCCCCTGAAGTTGATAGAATGACTCATGTGCTACAACATAAAAGACATATATAATAGACTAATATATGACAGAATTTATCATTAACCATAAACAATAACAATTCCATATCATCAATCACCAAAAGTTCTAACAAATCATTCAAATAGTCTAACAAAATAAATCATAAAATTTGTACTAAATTCAAGTTAGTAATTAGGATTGCAGTCAGTAGTGGACCAGTAATACCGATTAGAAGGTTGAGAAACAAAGAAGAGAAAGTATATATATAAAAATAGTAATTTAAGATGGACTATCTTAGTTTATGCTAAATTATTTTTCTTCTTTATTTTTCCTATGGTTAACATAGTGAACAAGTTCAGCCGTCAATTTGGAGTGGTTCATCTGATTTCATTTTCAACCGTGAAAAATCATGAGCTCCATCCATAGTCGTCCAAACAAATGGACTGAACCGTTATTGAAACTAGTTTGACGGTTATACTGGTCGGGTCGCTGATCCGGCTTGATTCTTATAACAATGATTAGGACTAGTGTACTCCTTGAGTATATCATACTCAAAGTGATCTGCTCGTTAGATGTACTTCACCAAATACTGATCGTCGATTATTTATTATTATTATTATTAAATTAGTCTTAAGGTTTTGATTTACAAAATTAGGGCATAAGGCTTATCCATTAGAGATTAGGATATAATATCAACCCCAAACTCGGTTTAATTCATTATCAAAATAGAGTATGATATATTCCATGAGTCTAGCAGTCTTACCC